TGAACAAATATCTCAAAAAAGCAAATATAAAAGTGGCAAGATATAGAATCATATGAAAATTTTCTGAGCATTATTTGTCATAAGAAATAAAAATTTCAGCATTAGCAATATACCATTCCTATGGGAGCAGCTCATATTAAAAGCAGGCTGGCAGGACAGCCTCCAAAACAATACAGAGAATCCCTGTCTCAAAAAAAACAAACAAACAAACAAAAAACAAACAAAAGCAGGCTGGCAATGTCAATACTGTTAAAAACTCAACAGTGGGAAAGTAAAACATTGCACATTTGCTCTTCAAAACATTTCAGCAGTGACTTCTTTGTGCTGTAAATGTCCTGTCACTGGACTTCTCAGTATTTGCCTTCATGATTTAAAAGCATGTTGACACAAAGACCTGTGTCATTTATGTGATACCTGTTTTATTACACATAATCAACAAAATCTTGAAGTGATCAAAACACCTTTAATTTGAGGGATAAACTATGGAAAATCCATACAATGAAATGCAATTCCATAAAACTGAATGTATTATCACACTGATGAAATCATGTGTGAGTCTGAAATTCATATTGCTCAGTGAAAGAGGCAGACTCTAAAGACTTCACACTCTATCATTCTGCTTTATGATTTCATAAAATAGAAAATATGAAGATAGTAAATAAATCCATGTTTTCCTGTCCAGGGAAGGTACTATAGTGTGTGAAAGTACAGGAGACTTTTTGAACAAGTAAAATTATATTGTTGGAAATGTACTTTTGGCTTAACAATACTATACATTTGTTGAGATTTCTTAAATCTTTCAACATGAACAGTTGCCTTATTACAAAGAAATTAAAATGCCCTGTAGAGTGCTTTGAATAAATAATGAAAAAAAATCTCGAAGTTAAAACAAATGGGTAAAATCACATCAGTAATATAGTTAGAGAAACTAGCTCTGCAATTGAATACAGTCTATGACTAAGGCAAAACCCTGGTATAATCATTTTGTATGAGACTATGGTTTAACAATTCCCAAAATATGTTTCCATATGCTGGAAATAAACAATAACCTAATTCGTAGAAGATGGTGGAAGCTAAGTTTCTAAGTTTCTTTGTGTTCTGTCATCAGAGAGGCACCAAAACACCCAAGCTGCAAGAAGAATGCTAATGTATTCATATAATATATTTGTTTCCAATAAGAATAAATACATGCTTTTGGGAAATGACAGAATACAAGCATTGCAGAAAAAAAGAGGTATGAGACCAGAGATTGCAGTAGCAGAGTACAAACCACAATTTTGAATACACTAAAAATCACACTTCTAAAGTTGTAATAAGGTTGTATGAAATTCTATTTAACTCAAAGAAATAGCTTTATAACTAAAGAAAACTTAGAGTCTGGAGAGGTGGCTCATTGGGCCAGGTACTTGCCTGGTCATATCCTTGTAATAACAGCACAGTGAAGATAGCGACAAACCAATTACTGGAGATCACTGTTATTATCCAGTATATGAGCATTGATGAACTCAGGTTAATTAATAGTCTTAAAACTTTTTGTTCAGCACAAGTTAGGAAGATACCAGGAAATGACCTATAGACTCTGTATTGGCACAAAGATGTACAGGAAAATGAACAGATATATGCACATATGCACACAAATACACACACAGCAAAACTGTGTGATAATTCAAATATATGAGATCATAACCACATAAATAAATAATCAAAAATATCAATGCAGAATAGATGCCACTCTTGTGGATAATTCAAATGCATATTGTAGATTATCTTCCCTTAAGATGAGAAAAATCACTCAGTATTTCATGTGTACCTACAGTACAGAAAGATTTTCTTTCAAACACTGAAACAAGTTTGGGGGAAATGTTTTACTTACAATGATGAATTTTTCAAAGTGCCTCAGGCAAAGGTCATGGTGACAAGTCATTTGGCTATGATATCTCTGATTTGATTCGGTGTGAATACCGCCTTATGTCTACTTTTCTCTCAAAAGCTGGTATTGTCAGGAAAATCATGAGAAAATATTCACACAAGCACAATGTGAAGTACAAGAAGCAAAGGGGCTAGTCTGTTACTACAAAACTATCAAGAATATAAACACTAAAGGACAGCGAAGTGATGATACCTTTGAAAAAGCTGAGAAAATCTGAGTGAGATGCATGTGTGTCTACTGTGGATGGGATCTTGGAAGAGTAAAAGTATATTTGATAAAAATGAGAATCAACATAATCACAAATTTTAGTTGATATATATTCTTGTTATGTTAATTCAGTCATTTTGAGAATGTGTCATGACATAATATGTGATTTGGGAGTTTGGGCTCTTCATATAGGCATTTTTGTATCATATTAGTAGATTTTAATTAATTATTTGAGGAATAGACAACATTGCAGTAAGGCATTGAGCAACCATACTCTAAATAATTATTTTGAGTTTCTTAGTGGAAGTATAAAGGCTTTACAGGGACTACTTGAAGAGGAAAGAATGAATGATGTGGGGATTGGGTGTGGGGCTGGAAGGGTGGGAGAGGAAGCTAGGACTGACATGTGAAACATTCATGTTTCTAATTTAAGTTAAAACATATATTGAGAAAAAAGAAAGGTTGCTGACAGAGAGGAGGAGGAGGAGACTGAAGAAAGAGAAATGAAAGGGAATAAATTGCAGGAAGGGAGAGAAGGGGGAAGGAAAAAAGGCAGTGAGGGGACAGGCAGAAGCAGATCAGAGCACAGATAAAAAGAGAAGTTTTAATTGTAGAAGATCAGAAAATCAAATGTAATAAATTTAATATCAAGAAATGCATCATATGTGGTTATATTCCCACATTTTCTTGTTGTGTAATTAGCTTACATAAATCAAATGTGCATATGAATTTAAGAATTAGCCATCAAAAAGTAGAATTTGCAAGTAAGTGGATGAAAAAAATGATTCTTTGTAAACTTTTCCAGCTCTGGAATACTACTATGATAAGTATTCAGTCACATGTGGATATTAGATTTTAAATAAATGGTAACCAAGCTACAGTTCCTACAACCACAGCGGTTAGCTACAGAGTAAAGAACCAAGGGGAGACAGATAGGTTCTCCAAGGAAGGTTAAAAGAATTGATAGTAATCTATTGGTGTGGGGGCTGGATTAGGGTGATAAAGTGAGGAGGGAATGAGGAGAAGCAGATGGAGGAGGGAATAAAATGAAAGACAGCTAACTTAGGCATCATCTGTGAGACAGTATTGAAACAATACAATAGAAGCTTCTTTAAGCATATACATATATGGAGGCCATCTAAATGGAATCCCCAAATGATGAGTGAGGTAGAGTCCCAAATGGTCATTTTTAGTCATCAAATGAAGCTTTTGTTACCAGAAATGGGTTGCAGTTAGTTGAGTTTGGCCCAAAGGGTCCCAGGGGATTCTCTAAAGAATGCAGTCTACTGAAAAGACTCTAGATGGCTCTCTGCAAACTGACTGGTACACCCCATTACTGAAGAGCACACCTGCACAGCTCATTGGACATGGAGTGTTCAACGTGGCTCCTCCATGGTGCCTTCATCTCTACATTCTAGTGTTTTAGTACAGTAATTTACTCTGCAGGCAACCAATAGAGAAACAACACGGACAGAAAACCTTTGATATACAATGTTGTTCTGCCTGCAAAATACGCTGGGATAATGGTAGCACAAAACTTGTGGGAGTAACCAACTAGTGTCTGATTTGATTTAAGGTCCAATACTACTTAGAAGACCACAAACAAGAGACTAGATAGGACAGAGACCTAGAAAACCAAATACTACTTTCTTAAATATGTAGTAATAAAATGACTTCTAATGACCTTCTTTCATCCTGATAGGTCAGTGCCTTGCCCATCAATCACCATAGAAGCTTCCTCCTGCATCAGATGGCAGCAAATATAGACACACAGCCATTATGCTGAGAGTGAGAGACCTCAGAACACTTAGTCCTACATATGAAGACTGCACAAAATCCCTTTCCTCAGGATTCAAGGACTCCAGGGGTAAAGGATACAGAAAGAGCATAAGAGCCAGAGGTTACAGAGGATAGTAAGAAAACAAGGCCCTCTAAATCTACATGATCAAGGCTCAAATGAACTCACAGAAGTAAGGCAACATGCACAGGACTTGCATAGGTCTGCACCAGATCCTCTGATTATATGCAACGACTTAGTGTTTTTATGGGATCCTTGAGTGGGCAAACTAGAGGGTCTCTGGTTCTTCCCCATCTTGGGCTCCTTTCCTTGTATTTGTTTGTCTCATCTAACTCTGACATATTAGTTTTTGTTTTATCTTATTTTATCTTGTTTTATTATTATCCATTAAAAGACTTTATTTTCTAATGACAGACTGAAGTGGAGTGAATTTTGATAGGATGGGACACAGGGAGGAACTGGGAGGAGAAAATGGATGGGAAACCTTTATCAGAATATATTATATGATAAAAATATTTTTAATTAAAATAGAAAAGAATTCTTCTCAAAAGCATTGATTAAGATGTGGAATTTATTACACTGGAGATTAGCAATTGCTGATAATAAAGAAATGAAAACATAATGACAACTGTGTTGTGGATGTGTAATGGTGGTATGTAGGTATAGACATCTGAGAAATGGGAAAAACTTCAGGTGAACCTGGAAGTGGAAGCAGAAGTTGGGAGATGAGAGGTGATCATGTGCAGAACTCTATATGCATTGCAGAAAGATGAAAGTAAGGATCACTGAGGTTTTTCCACTATGGAGTTACCAGTGAACTTCAAAAGAAGTGGACTTCAGTTTGTAAGGTAGTTGTAACTGAATGGGGTGGGAGTCTGCCGTGTGCACTACATAACTCTGCTAGAATCACAACTCTGCCACTTGCTAACTGTATCTTATTGTCTGTACTATCTAATATGACCAAGCTGCATTTACCCATGTACAAAACAGATCTAGCCTCATTCGTGTTATCAAGGAACTGTAACTAATTCACATTTAGAATAATTTGAGCATTGTATCACTCAATGATTAAAATAATCACTTTAATAAATTGAGGTAGCAGCCAATAAAGAATATTGTCTCAGATCATATTGGTAACAACATATTCAAGTTTTCAAACAATACTCATAATTTCTTTAGTGATCACCAATTAGGAAAAATACCAGGTAGGAAAATTGCTATGGAAATTGCACATTTAGGGAGGGTGAGGCCACTGATAATGCTGGACTTTGGGAGGTTGAAAACGAGAAATAAAAATAAGTGGAATAAGATTGTTTGCAAAGTTAAAGCCATTGTTATATTGTTGATACTGATGCTTAATGAGATGATTTGTGATATCATTTCTAATATACAAACTGTCAGTAATATGGAGATGCATCTTTTCAACTACTTATTCCTATAATATGTATTTCACACATTGAATATGTGCAAGATATCAACAAAAGAACTCATGGTGTATGGGGAATTTTCTTAATGAAGTTTAATGGTAAGCTGTAATATGACCCAGAACTACCAGTGTCCCATTGTTAATTACATTTGTAAGTAAAATATAATAAACACTAGCTTGAACATTGGAAGATAATCATGGGAAGAGTCCCAAAATGGATATTGAAATTATATAAATTCAAATCTTCATAATCAAAGGGTTTAAATACCTTATTTATTATTTGCTAATTTTTACTCAAGCTTCTTGGATTTTCTTTTATTATTTCTCAATTTTCATAAAACTATAAATGTGAATAAAGTTAAAAGTCTGGCTAAATTAAAAAAATCTTTGAATAAACTTTTCAATTAGATTGATTGTTGAAAAATCCGTATCACTAGAAATTGTGAGAAATCCAGTGAAGAAATTCAGAGGCATTTCACAAGACTAATTGGAAATATCAGCTAACATGCAGTCATTTTTATATGTATTATGCATACATAAATTAATAGGAAAAATTTGTTCAATGTAGTTGTTCATTACAGTGAATATAACAGCTAAATTTCTCAGAATATATTTTACAGATTTTGTTTATATTTTTGTGTCGCTCTACACTAAGAAAGATTACAAAAATTTAAATGATAATGGAAAAGGTTTTCATAAATCATTTTTTCATATTATTTTTATATTACACACACATGGATGTGTCTATATCAATGTTTTTATGTCTGTACTAAACCAGGTGTCACATAGTCCATGTAGCAGTCAGTATATGGGGTATATGAGTTGAAGGGTAATGATTCAACAATGGGATTATGTGTGGATCTCAATGAAGAATTTTTACATTGGCAAATCAGTGAAACCTCTGGTCCAAGGTGTAGCTTGTCAAATGACACTAAAATTTGTCAGAATCTATATACTTTAAGTAGGAAAAAATTGTAATGAGGAATGAGGGTGGAGTGAGTATGTCTAAAGGAGTGTCTACGACAATACAGTTTCCTTCCCTATACTATGACTTTGCATCCAACTCAGGGAGAAAAGTGAATATATAATTGTTATAGAGAGCTATAATTAAAATAATTACCATAAGAAACTCTGTAATTAAACAGAAAATCCCTGTGAATAAGGTGGTTACATCTAGAAGATATAAATGAGATCACAATCATGACCTAGGATGAAATATATAGTGGAAAGTCAAATTTAAAAGATAATGCAACTTACTACTAAACAAAGAATACACAAAAAAAGTATTAAAATTACAACTAAATAAAACTTAAGAATCCACCAGCATGAACAAAGGGAAATCTCACAGAATCACAGATTTCAAAGCTCCATACTGAAAGGGGAAGAAAGTATGCAGTCATGAGAATGACAGCAAATGCATAGAGACTTGTAATTTCTTATCACTAAGAGTAGGAAATCAAAGAGCATCCTCATACAAAATACTATGTCCTGTTTGATGATTGATGGATACAGGCATCCTTCTGTTTTACCTAGTGAGTTAATGGTAGAATATGATACAAAATACCCTTTCCAAATATACGTTAGTCATGTGTATATGTGTATATTAATTTACAAGCATCTCTGGGGGTGTGTGGCACATTTCAAACCCAGAAATGGGTATTGAATCCCCAGGTAAGGCAGTTAATGAAAGTCGTGTGCCACCCTGATTACGGTGCTAGGAATGGAACACAGGTTCTCCTGAAGAGCAGCAAGTTCTCTTAAAGTATAGCAATTTCTCCTTCCTCTAAACCACTTTTTAACATGATGATGAAAAAAAATGGTTCCAAATAAGTTTTGCATAGCCATCCCAGCTACCACCTTTTAGAGGATAAGGGGAAAAATTATTAAGCAAAGGATCTTATGTGAAAGAATTCTCTTTCATAATCCATCTTTTTGCTAGTAATATAATGCTAATTTAAACCACCCCTACTTTTAGAAATGTACTGAATCCACTAAAATACAATGTTTTCATATTTACATAAGCTTTGAAGTTATTATTATTGTTGTTGTTAACTTTTTATTGTTTGCTATGTCTCTGATTCTTAGGGTGGAATGCAGTGCTTGTGGAAATCGCAAGCATCATGGCATTGCATAACAAACTCAGATTTCCTAGTGGTACTGACATTTTTGCATAATTTTTAGGGAAAGAGAACATCCCTTCTTCAGTATCTGTGTTATCATCATGTTATAATGCTTTTGCTCTCTTCCTGTACATTCTTCTACATTTTGATTTCACAGAACAACTTCATATACCCATCAGGAATAACTGTGTGGTTCTCTGACGTGGAACTAGTGAGTTCTGATGAATGATCAATCAAATCTCTTCATGATTCAAATTATCTTTCTATGTATAATGACTTCAAGTATCCATGAGTCTTCAAATTATGTTAGTCTGTAGGTAAAGTATTTTCTATACTTCATACAATAATTACTGTAATTTAAGGATTAGAATTTTTCAGATTAATTTTTCATGACACTGAATATAGCAAATTAGTTTTACTAAAGATAATAAAACACTGGAGGCCAAGGAATTTGATCCATAGGACCTTTTGAGTCAAAGAATGAGTATGGTTCAAAGCACACAGATTGGTTTCTAGTACATCAACACTACTGTTTCACTTTTGTAAATTCATTGTACACTTCTTTGAATAGCATTAAGGGCAACACATAAGTTATATATATGTACATATGTAGATCCATAAGGAGAGTCATGCAAGCCAATAACAAAATTGTGTTTTTTATCACTAAAATCATTCATATAAATTTTAACACTTTTATATTGCTTAATGCATGAATGAAAACAACACCTATTTGCCTGAATAAAAAAGTATTTCAGGTATTGAAATATTAGGCTTAGTCCTTTCAATAGCCTAAAAGTTATTATAATCCCTCTAATTGTAAGCACCAAAAGATCTCTTTTCCACATCATATATTAATTTGATCATTACGTTTAAGCTTATTTTTATGTTATTATCATTGGTTATTGCAAATCAAATGCAGTTTAGAAATTAAATATTGTTAACAATCTTCAGATTGGGATTGGATGACCCCACATGCTGAAGTACCAACCCAAATTTTTTAGACTGTGTAGGATTTGGTAATAAGGCCTTTAATAAGGTAAACCAGGTAAAAAGAGGTCCTGTGGCTAGATGTTGTTCTGATAAGAATGTTGAGTTACAAAAAAAGAAACTGAAACAAGCTAAGAGATCAAACTACATTGGGAAGGGGAAAAAAGGGAAGATAAAAGAGGTCCTCTCAAAGACCAGGAGAATATGCCGAGGGGAAATCATCTGTCAGAGCTGAGGAAATCAACTCGCTGTTTACAGACACTTTGCAAGTAGTAGTTTGCTGTGTTCATCCTAGAAAACAAATGAAGCAATGTAGAAAATGACAAAGATATTTGGAGCTATATGTGTGATGAAAATTAAGAGCTAAACGCTGCATATTTTCATATCTTCTCAGTCATGTGATTGAAAACAATCTGTCTCTCAGATTTTCATGTCATCATGGGTACTGCTTAGCAACTTCATGAAAAGGCAGTTATATTTCCTGTGAAATTACTATATGAAACAACATTTGATAAGAATCAAGTCTTAATGGGATGTGGTCTTGCATATTAACCTTCTTCAAGAAGACAATCTCTACACATAGTGAAATAAGAAAAGTCATATTAGTTTTTTTTCCTTCTCTACTATGGTAATGTAAGACCTATAAAACAGTTGCTTTTCTTCATTGTAAAATACTGTAAATATTTGTTACATGAAAACTGGAACAATAGTAGAATGATATGCTGACTGATAAAAGCTAAATTCCATTCTAAAATGGATAAAAAGAGTCTAAAAACTATGGTAAATAGAGAAAAATGAACATTTCTCTATACCATAAAAATATGCATTTGAAAATAAGACTGAAATTAAATTGTTCATTCTTTAAATTTCCAAGATTCCATAGTGTGACATTTGATATTCATAGCCCCCAAATAATAATGAAATTCACAGATATTTTATAATAAAACTAGATTAACCATATCTTATTCATGGCTCTTTAAGTACCTTTAATTTTCCCTACATATATTGTAGGTAGAAGTTCTCAGTTGTTACAAATACATTGTTTAGAACAGGTGTTACACTATGTTCAGTTTGCATTTGTTGTACCGTGAATTTCTGAATAATGTATAACCCGTGTGAAATTGATTTGAGCCATGTTTACTAATGTAGTCATAAATTCTACCATTTCTCAGACATTTAAAAGTTCTATATGAAGAATTATAAAGAGTAATTTACATTAGGATTTTTTGTAGATAAGATAGTGAGGAGGTAACTCTGAGCCAATATTATAACTGAGTCGACAAAGTTAAATCCACATCACTTGAGCAAGTGATTCAGCTGCCTGGCATTGAAGTTTTGCTCCCTTTGGGATTTAGTCATTGGTTTTATTTTCTGAAGTCCCTGACTTACATTTGTTCAATACTACAGAATAAACGTTCATACTCGTTATAAATCACACTATTTGATATGTATTTTGTTTGAATCATTCATTGAAGTACCACTGACATAAATGCTAAGAGCCTGAATGTTGACTTTTTCTCATGTTTACATTAGGAGTATATTTTCCTTTCAGAACTTTCACTAGAAACACATCTGAATATTTATCTCTTCCTGAAAACTTAAATGATTTGTTGACTTTTTAAAACCAGTTTCCACAAAGCAGTGTAGAATTAAACAAACCAATGTTTATTTGAAGCTGGAATTTAAGCCCTGAGGCATCTCTTCATACAGAGGGATCCTTTTTATTTCCTGTATATAATTTTAGTTTTTGGAAAAGCTAACAGTTTAATTAACAACTTCTACATGAACTAATATTATGGTCTAAGCACTGCTCTTAGAATTCATGACGTACATATTTAATTTCATAATGTCTCATTTATTCCAGTTTCTGAAAGAATAGGAAAAACAAATTATTTTCAGTTTACAATTTACAAAAGAAAAATCTTTGCCTTCTAAAATGATGGAGTTTGGGAGCTATTCTTCTTTGTTCTTGAAAGGACTGAGAGTTGGCATGTCGCAATTGCTCCTTGATAGAGAGACACCATCAGCTTCTTTCCTCTTTATCTTGGAATCCTGCAAAGCCATCACAGCAGAGTGTTGTGTACACCACGTTAAACGATAAGAGTTTCAATAGGCACTTTAGTGGAATTAAGAAAAATCTCACACTCTTCCACTGTGATGCCACATAGCTATCTTCATTCTAGGTTGTCATGTCACTGAATTGCATTTAATATGCCTGAGCTCAGCTCAGTGTGTTCCTGAAATAACAAAACAAAACGAAGCAAGTACATATTATAGGATTTACTTTGAGTCAGCAGAGTAACCCAAAATGATAATATGATAAATAGAACAGATTGCTAGAAACTGGGTAATCAAAGGAAGCTTGTCCTGTCCTGTAAAATCTGGGAGCATGTGTGTGTTTGTGGTTTCTTTGTGTGTGTGTATGTGTGTGTGTGTGTGTGTGTGTGTGTGTGTGTGCGTGTATATTTGTGCATGTGTGTGTATGTATGTTTTATTTCTGATACTTTTGTTAAAATTTTCTTCACTAGATATGTATCAGCCTTTTCTTCTACCCTAGGTAACATTATCGGGATTGTGACTCTCTTCTTCTCCAAACATGTCTGCCAAGACTTTAAAGCGGGGCCCCCAGTCTGTGAGATAGTCATAGTCCTGGTCTGCCTCTGTGGTGAGAGAGTCTATGGAGCTGAGGGACTCTGCCACTGACCCATTTCCCTCATATGCATAAGTGGCCAAGGAATCATATGGTGGGGCAGCTGGATCCGCATCATTTTCCTGTAGCCTTTGGTGAATAAAATCCCTTATGTCTGTGTTGTCTTCCACGTGTGGTCTCTGACGAGGGAAACAGAGGGAATCTGGTTTTATATCCCTGCGAATTTTGTTCTCTTCAATCACTTTGGGATTTCTCAGAGCTCCAATGTCAAAAGCCTGGGTATCTTCTTCTCCACCTCCTTCATCATCATAATGGATGACATTGTCTCTGATGTCTTCCTTAGATGTCATCAAGGTGTCTTTCTTCCTCTGCCTTCTCAATGCTACATACAGTACAACTATAGCTAGAAGAAAGGAAAAAGAGTTAAAAGGAAGCCCCTATATCACTTCATCTGTCTGTAAATGCTGCAGTTATTCAAGAACAACTGCATTTCTTTAATAACTTCATAATATGCTCATATTTATAATACTATAACTGATAAGTTTATGCATATGCTTATGAATTTTCTAATGCCAACATCACATTGAAATGCTAAATATCAGGAAATCATAGTAAAACCATTAATACTAGCAAATATTTTTCTATCTGTATTTTAGTATCTTTGATTTCAAGAAAATATTATTACAATGAAAATGGTAAAAAGAAAAAGAAGTCCCTTCTAACTATATAGATACTTGAAAGAGTTGATACAAAAATACTTAGATATCAAAATATAACGGAGCATGTAAATGTCAGTCATAGGTAAATTGCCAACCACAATATTCTTAGTTAAAAATATGTGTTTCAGTACAATACTCAAAACTGATGATGGAATCAGTATGTAAGAAAGAGAGAGGAAGCTGGGCAGTGGTGGCATGCACCTTTAATCCCAGCACTCAGGAGGCAGAGGCAGAGGCAGGCAGATCTCTGTGAAATCGAGACCAGCCTAGTATACATGAGTTAGTCTCAGGACAGTCTCCAAAGCCACAGACAAAACCTGTCTCAAAAAACCAACAAAAAGAAAGAAAGAAAGAAAAAGGAAGAGAAAAAAAGAAATAGATGGGCTAGGAGAAAGACTGAAGGAAAAAGACGGAGGAAAGTGAAAGAAAACAACACAATACATGATGTAAACTAGTACCTCTTGTAGTTTCAATTCTAAGAACAGGGATGTTTAATAATATAGTAGACAAGATGTATGGTACTTGACTGACTTCTTAAAAAATTTTGATGTACCTTCTCACCTTATTATTTTATCATTTTATTTCTAGTGACTGAATTTTTACCATTAAGTTAATGGTGTTGATAATTTATTGTGGGAACACCAGACCTTGAGCAGAGACCCACTTCCCTTTCTGCCTGGGAGTAGGCAGCTGTAAGACAATGTTTACTAAAAACATGTTTACTAAAAAGGATACAATGCCCTGGGCAATAAGTTCCTGGAAAAGGCCTTCCCAGGGAAACTGCCCTGATCTCGACCTTGTCCAAAGACTAACCGCATCTTCAGACCCACCCACATCCACCTCTGGGGGCAGAGCAGAACCAGCCAGGGTAGAGGAGAGAGCAGAAGCTTCTCTGGTGGGAGCCTTTCTTAGGAAGTTTTCTTGATCCTTTTTGGGGCCTGCTTAAAGTTTTCTTTACATAATTGAACGAATCTCTGTGTTGTCAATCCCCGACACCCTCCGCACATTCTCGGACACAGGCCGAGAAGCAGACGTGACAATTTATAACATCAGTGGGCACAGATACACATGATGAAACAAATTTTCAGCTTTCAGGCACAATATCACATCCTTCCAAAATAGTAGCAATGGAATAAGGGCAACACATGCTTGGTTCTCCACAGAAGAGATTAAATGAGAGAGTAGAGAAACTTGAGGCGAGATCGTATATTTGCTCCCATTCCCTTCAAATTAAAATAGAATCTATTGGAAAGAAACATAAGCCTTAGATGTTGCTTCCATTAAAAAATCCAGGAATTATATTTACGACTATACCTTTTTTCCCTTGGCATATATGATATCCAATGTAATGTCACTGTTGCTGAGTGATATGCAGAAAACCTTAGTGAGTGTCCCTAAGTATCAAAAAGTTTCACCAATGCAAGGATAGAAAAACAGGCTTCATTTAGATAGTGTGGAAGGCTATCTACAAGAAGTACCAGCCCTACAGATTTCTATTGTTTATCCTAACTCCATGAAAAGATATGAAAATCGTGCACTAAATGTTATGTGGCTGGAGAGTCAAGAAATCGATCAATTTTAAAACAGAATCTGTTACAAGACAATAGATGCAAGTGATTATTTTTTTAATGAAAAAGAGGGTTATGTGGTTGGTATGTAAAATAAATAAAAATGATGGAGCAAAAGAAAAAAAATAGTACCTAGACTAGTAAAGTAAATTATGGTTATTCAGGAAGAATTGTGATGGGTAATTAGTGCCAATGTATGATGCTGGTGAGACAACAATTTGCTTGCATCCTTCAAAAGGGACACAGGAGCCAAAGGAGAATACCTAGAATATTTTTGAGCCTTGTTATAATGATAGACAAGTACTCTGAGATTCAATTAGCTACCTGATCATAAAAGATAATGGTTATATCTCAGTTGAATTCAAATACTAACTAAACATGAATAATTTCTCTGTGAGAATTTTATTTGAATATACAGTTTGAAGTTTGTAATGCCAGTAAAAACATATGCTAGGCAAACATCATGTATTATGAAGATATAAAGAATATTTTTTCATGTAACCAAGCTATTCACACAGAATTAATACTTATACTTTTCAAACTGGTCTAGAAGTCACTATGTCACCATAAGCATCGGACACAGGGAGTATTATATATAAAGTGTCACTTATTGCTTACTATTATTTCTGTTTTAGAAAAAAAGCTATTGTCCTTTTATTTTTTTAGACTGTTTTAAATGATGACTATGCTTGTTTAAGCTCAATGCTCAGGTTTGCATCTGTTTCTTTCGGTTTTAAAGAGTGACCACAAAACTAAACAATTTGTCTCAGTGAAGCTATCAGTAGATGGAAAATCTGAACAAAATTAAAGCCAGAGTGAAACCATTCCACTAGAGATATACTTATTCCCACATACTGTTACAAAATAGATGCTTTATTCTAACATTTTCAGGGTAGTGTTTCTGGACAAGTCAGTCAAATCTTCTTTGTTAGAGTAAGAAATTTTACAAGTTGTTTTGGGATGTGGAATGATTTGAAACAGTTGAAGATTTTTGGGGGTAGCAGTGCAAGCAGAATGTAAGCATATTTTGGATCACTTTGTCTTCTGCGTCTTCCCTAGCCTCTCTGTTTTCTTCATTTCTTTGGTGAGCTGAGGATTACAAGTATTATTCATCCGGGATATTTTAAAATGTATTATGATTAATCAATGACAATAGTTTGCAAAGTTAACTGAGAAATAGTTTTGTTTTTGATTATATAATCTAGCTTATTGAATGAGATTCATCGGAAGTACAATTTGTAGTAATTAAGGATTGTATTAGTAAAAATGGCATTTTATATAATTTTATTGTAAGTCTACTCAAAGTCCAAGATTATTGAGAATTATTAGCATGATTTTTATTTTTATTTTTTTGGTTTTACGAGACAGGGTTTCTCTGTATTGTTTTTGAGGCTGTCGGTCCAGCCTGGCCTCGAACTCACAGAGATCTGTCTGCCTCTGCCTCCCGAGTGCTGGGATTAAAGGCGTGTGCCACCACCGCCCAGCAGCATGATTTTTATTAATGACATATATGTTTAGATTTTTAAAAAATTTCAAACACTGTTTATGCACATGCATGTGACTTAATGAAACTGAGAAATCATTTTAAATCTCTAGTTATCACAGAGAATTTCATGGTAGATAAGGAGTCAAATTTTCAACATTAATATGCTTTGTGACTTATGTTATTATTGATGATGTTATATTGGAAATACCAAATAGAAAATGTATTTAATAAAAATATTTCAAATAACCAATGATTTTATAAATAGCTCAGTAAAGAATATTTTATAGACATTATATTTGAGGCAGGTTAGGATTGAGAGGGAGATAGAGATATAGAAAATATGGTGAATACGGAAACTAACCTAAGAGTATAACAATGCATAGTAGTATTGCAATTAAAGCTCCAGTGCTTAGTCCTACAGGTAGAAAAATTGCCTCCACATTGCAAGACAGGATGGTCCCATCAGAGTCACATCTACAAACTCGAATAGTCATTGTGTTCGTGCTGCTCTGGACAGGGTAACTGCTGTCTTCTATGACAACAGGAAGGAAATACAACTCTTGCTGCCTGCGGCTGTATCCATTTCTCCGGGTTTCAATTCCAGCTGTGTTGTCTGCAAAACATGACATTTGTGATAACATAGTTACTGTGAGTTTCACTTTAACTTTTAAATTCATATCTGCTAAACTGTAGGAAGCTCTTTTTGATCCAGTAAAATGCATCCTTATTTAAATTATTTATTAGAATGTTATGAAATCTGTCAAAATGTAAACAGATAGAATTAAAATAATCCTCTAAGAAAGGAGAAGCATTCATCTTGGTGGTGTGTGAATTAAATTTTCCATTGAAAAGAACAGTCTTATAGCAAGAATGATACACAAGAAGATGGGCTCTCTCAGGCTTTGTGTTTCTGATATCAAAATCTACTTGGGTGGTGGGAAACTTCTATGAATGTGTCATTCTAAATACAAAAGTCAAATGTTAATAAGCACAGTATGAATAATACCTTTTGAAACTATGTATTATAAGATTAGTATTTTTAAAAGTAATGGCCTCTATTGAGGTTTTCCCCCCAAAATTAGAGCTTGAAATGTGAGAAAATGGAGCATGTTAAAAATATCAAGATTTATTAAAAATCCTCAACATTATGAATTAAAGCTATTAATATTTTCTAGTAATTACAAATGTAAGTCATTGTATCTTTAACAAAATCAACAATTGTGATATTTTGCTTTTACTAATACAAAGAATATTATATTTAATTATATAAAATGAAATATATCCATTGACAAAACTATTGCAAATGCATTTTGTCTTATTTATAGACATTTCAGCAAACAATTTTATTCATTCTATATTTTCAATTGAAGCAATTCATTTTTTAAATATTATTTTTAATACAAATTTCATAATATACTTAGGAATCATATAAATAATTGGAAATGCATAGTACTTATAAAAATTCACTATGATAATTGTAAATAGGATTTACAACTTTTACTTAGCCAGATTCTCTATATTATTGCCATGTGGTATAACTTCAAGTGAAAAGCTTGTGTTCTATGACCACAGTTTGCTTGGTAAGTTTTATTTATTATCATTTCGTAGACAAAATTTTATGATACATAAATATCAAGATAACATCACCATTAATAATGTTGACAAATAGATTAAGCGTAGGACAAATATTTGAGCTGATGATAGTTCTAGAATAATGAAGACTGACTAAAGCACCATTGAGTTTTCAAAATTCAATGACTGACTCAATGAGGTTAAATCAAGCAAATAACCTAAGTCGTATATCACAAGTTGACTGACAGTCATTAGAAAAAAGGAATTAGAAAACCTAGAGCTCTTTCTTTGGAAGGATGCAATAACTTCATATTTTAGACTCAATTTATATGAAAAAACATTTTGTTTTTAACTTATTATTGACAGATAACCGAGTATGCAATTTTTATAGTTGTTTGCATTATGAGAAAGAAAAAGTACATGAAATACTACTTTGATCCTTAATATTATGCTCTGATCACACTTTAGGAAGGCTAGACTGGACTTGACACTAGATAAGGTGTAACACGTCATCTGTATTTGGATCTTACCAGCTTTTAGAATAATATAATTAACAGCCTCACCATGAAAGCAGGAGTGTCCATAATCTAACCTAACATACCTTTCTGTGATGGCCGTAATATTATCAGACATAGTAATACTAGACATAGAAGTGTTGACAGCAGACTACAAGTGTGGAAGATATGTTTTCAAAAGTTGTAGGTAAAATTATCTTAACAAAAGATCTGAGGCATTGTATTAAAGGTTTTGCATTTGATATCAATACTGATGTTCTGAATTTTATATTACATTAGGATAATTTACTCAGTTGTGCCCCCCGGGGAATAATGCAGTGTGAATAAAATCCTGCTCATTCTAATTGAACTGCTTGATTCACAACCCCTCTGAACTGCTTGTTGCTCAAATAAAAGAAATGAATATAGAATTCATTTTCATGTGTAAGAAATGTGCATGCCATTATGCTGTTTTATTCAAAATAAGGAATCAGTTTCCCAGAAAGAAAGTTTTATTTGCTTAAATTATTAAAGGCCCAACTCTTTTTATAATGAATGTTAGCTGTATTATCTGATAATAAATGTAGGGTAATTAATTTGTTACTAGTTGAAAAGTTTGTATTTCTTCTATGTAGATTTCTATGCTTTGAAAGTGCTTTGAGGAAAATCCATTGAATCCTCCCTCCCCATGTGTGCTTTGAGAAAACTACACAAGTGGTATATCTATAAGTGGTTATACTTACTTCTGAAGTCATGAACTGTGAAATTTGGTTTGATGGCAGCCTCTGGTGATAATCTAAAGGAGAATTGCTGCCCAGCAGGTGAAAGATCGCGGTCTGCAGCACTTACTACCTGAATTATCTGAAACAAAGTTGAGATTAAACTTGAAGTCAGTCATCAGTTTCAAGGGAACTCTACACAACAGACTAATAACTTTACTTAATAAAGAATGCAAATAGAGAGACATGGCACTTTTTTAATCTATATCAGTGGCCCAATTGCTTTCATGTCCCTTTTGTTAACAATTCTCTAAGAATTTGCAGGTAATAATGGCAGCTACAATCAGAGGACACAGGCTAATTCTAAATCAATATCTGTGTAACCCAAAAGCAAGCCAGCATTGAAAATTGTTCATAACAAACAAACAAAAAGATTAGAAGGGACTTGTTTGCATGTTAAAATAAATAACACACATGCCTTTTAGACTAAATATGAAATCCTACTAGAAAAAAGACATCTTATTATCTAAGTGTCCTTGAAAGAGCAAAATTGAAGATCAAGTATATTGTGAGAGTAGATTTATTAAAAATCTAAAATGATGAGACAGATAAAACAATACGTTCCTGCTTGTGTTGCTATGCTACCTCTAGCCCCCCATTCCTTAGGATTAAGCAACATGTATTTCTATGTTACTCGGACAAGGAAACATTCACCTCTCTGTTTCAAAAGTGTCTCCCATGTTTCTTCCACAAATTGTATATCATTGCTAAAATGTGCATACTTCAGCATTGTGCCCTTAAATTTTAAACTAAAAGTAACTTTGGTTTATACTGTAAACATTAGAAGGAATATCAAATAGGATATCTAAAAGCTCTCTATCACAGAAAATATTAGGAAATATGGTCGAGAAAGCAAGGAATGTGGAAAATACCCAAGTATATGAATTCAATAATTTTCTATAGTTAGAGCATGGCTGTTGCACATAAGACCCTCGTCTTCGAGTGTAATCTACATATAAGAAGACTTTTAGTTTGTGATTTATTTACAATTGCCTCTTATGATTCTGGAGTATAATCCAGTCTCATGCTTGGGATCTATCTTACTACATAGATATAGATACATGCTGTAAACTGCAAGAACACACAGTAATTATATAGCCATCATTTCAGGAAGTGAACCACCAGAGCAAGGACTCTGCATGGAGGAATCTAAACCAATATGTAGTTGTATTTGATGTTAGAGTCTTGTGAATAAAAGTGGCAGTTTCTTGATGTAGAGCTTTCTAGTAGATTATTCCTTTCTGTAACAAACTTGGGATTTACTTGCTGCAGTTCAGCGCTATGTGATCCTTCATTGGGCACGACTTCTCCCATGCATTTGGAGTTTACTGATTACACCTCTTAGCTCTATGATGAAACCTGTTCTCCATTACCAGGTCTTAGTTTCTTGGTTACATCCCTTAGATATATGTGAATCCTGTTTCCCACTGTCTGGTCCTTGTTCCCCTCTCCATTGTAATGGCAGAGATCTGCTCCTGCAATTATCTTTCTTGTCAGGCATTTGGTCAGTGTTTTGGGCCCAGGCAAAATCATCCCTTGTAATACATTCCCTTATATCCAAGGGCAAATAATTACTACCATGTACAAATATTTTGTTTCATAGTTGCCCAGATTGATAGAAAAAATAAGCATACCCTGGTTTTTATCTCACTGGCAAATAGATAAGTGATATGATATATATATATATATATATATATATGATATATATATGATAGATAGATAGATAGTAGAAAGGAAGAACGAAAGGCAGGAAGGAAGGAAGGAAGCAATAAAGAGAAAGAAAGAAAGAAAGAAAAAGAAAGAAAGAAAGAGAGAGAGAGAAAGAGAGAAAGAAAGAAAGGTAGACAGACAGACTAGTATTGCAGGGGTGGTAAGTATCAATGTTTGTGGCATGAAAAAATAAAGTAATTTCTTTAGTAAGAATCCAGTCCCTTTTCTCAATATAAGTTCTTATCACTGAATACATTAATTTGTTTCATAAAATTATTATCAGCTGCCTTTCTATAACCTAACACTTAGAAGCACTAGCTCATGGAAAACAACAGTTTAGTTAATTTCACCATATCAGATGTAATGGTTATTCTTAGTTGTCAATTTACTACATATGAAATTAACTAAAACCCAAGTGACAAGATACAACTGTGAGGGCTTCTTCTTGACTGAATTATTTGAGATGGGAAATTCCACCCTAAATCTACATCTTTTGAGAAGGGAAGAACAACCTCAAATTTGAACCACACTTTCTGCTGTAAGCAAATATAACATATAGAAGAATAAAATACTCCATCTTTGCCTGCTTGGTTTTGATCTCACTGGCACGGTCATTCATTCACTGGCATTAGAACCTATTTTCTTAAGATTCCTATATCAACAGAAGACTATCTGAGACACCCATCTTGTGGACTAAACAACTAATGTATTCTTGAACTTTCCATTGGTAGACAGCCATTTTTGGACTATTTTGACCACAGCCTGTAAGCCATTCCATTAAACCCCATACCCATACATATATTCATTCAATACTGCTTATTATGTTCCTCTAGAGAACCCTGAAAATATGAAATTTACTCTGTTGAGACAGAGCAATGTCCTCACATCATACTGCTTTACCCTTAAAGTTTCTGTATTTATATAACAATAAATATATCATATAAGAACACATATATTTATGCATATCATATGACTTCATAATATACAACTATATGTATGTTAAATTTTGTAGTATGTTTTGTTTCAAATTAATACTAAGTAGCATCATTTAAATCAAGCCTATTTAAGATCTATGGACATAGTTTACTTGCTGTGTGAGTAATACTATAGAGGCAAAAGGAAGACCATCAGAATCACGAGGATATTCTCAGCCACATAATAAGTTCAAAGCCATCTGTGTATATATGAAATCCTGATGTATTTTTTTCTTTCATATACACTCAAGTGGGGGAGATACTTCCCTAAAATACTTTGATATAGGATTCAATCGTGTATATATATATATAACTCCAACTCTCTCATTTGTATCTCCCTTTCACATTGATAAATGATAGAAAAAGATTCATGGTAGATACTGATATTTAGATATGTAGATAATTAGATACAGAGACATAAATACACACATGCATATATTTCTACTTATTAGACAGTGATAGAGGATAGATAAACTATCCTTATGTATACTTCTTAGAAAAGGGACATAATGGATGGGTCCATGTTCATAAAGTGGCCCAAACTCACATATTCTGAACTCTCAAAGGAGACTTCAGAATCATTTCTTTTTTTAAGAATTTCTTAGTAGGAAACAAAAGATATTTGTTAAAATGGAGTCTCTGGGCACATAAGCTGATTCTTCCCTATTTTTCCCCACATACAAAGAAAGGAAGTTGAGATCTAATAAATGTTATATTTCCCAAAGTTCAAATTTTTATTTTAAATATATTCACATTAAATTTAATAGAGAAAAATTCCAAAAGGCAGTAATTTAAAGAATTGCAAGATTTTTGACTATTTGAATTTTCATTAACTATAAAATAACCTTAATGTAGTAAAACATTTGAAAACTAAACCCAACCTAATCTACAGAATTTTAGTCTATCTTCTAATGTTTCACATAACCAAAATGACATTATTCATTAACTAAATTGTACTTCACCATTTCAGACTCCGAAGAAAGCAGTAGATTATCTTAGAGCTACTGCAAATTGAGCCTACTCTGCTACTCTGGTATTACCCTCACATGTATCCATCTACCATTAATTCATATGAGCCTAGCACCATGTATATTTCATTTTACAAAGATATCTGATGCAGGAAAATCTTAAAATTTAAAGTATAAACATACAGCAAACCATTATACACACTTCATTAACAATATTGGCAACATACCTGTCCTGGTTTGGCATTTTCACATACGGCTGTCTCATATGGCACAGATATTTCTGGAGGAAATTCATTGACATCGAGGACATTAATCAGTATGTTGATTTTGCTGGTTAATAATGGGTTACCTGTTGAAAACATAAAAAATATAATATCACTAAATATGAATATTGCTTCTCTGAAAGCCAGATTTGCTCTCTATTGTGTTTCACAAAAAATGGGAAATGATCTTCTATTATAGGAAATTATAAGTTATCAGCTGCAAAAATCCCAAGGAAGAATAAGAGAGAAATTTATGGAAACTGTTCGACCAGGAGGAAGATACATTATCAAGTAGGAGTAACTATGTGCTGATGTGTTATCAAAAGTAAGGGGTATTTCTCCTACATTGATTTTACTATCTTTGCAAGGTTAGTTCATTGATATTACTTTATCCAATACTGATATTTATTCTATCAAACACAATATGGTTCTCTTTGTGTCACTCATATAGTCAGAAATTTTAGTATATGAAATATTCATTATATACTAATAAATATCTCAAATTCATCTTTGCTAACAAAAAGTTAGGGGTATAGATTTAAGTAAATTGGGAACAAGGAGTGGGTTTTGGAAGGTCCGAAGTTATCCATTTTTTGGAACTAAGAATAAGTAAATTTTTGAAAAAGTTTAATTTATTCCTTCATGACCACAACAATATCTTTGGAGAAAGGAGCCACTGCCTTATGTGAATTGCAAATTTTTCCCCAGCAATGTTCTTATTATTTAGCTTGCTATCATTGTTTGAGAAGAAGACTGGAAATGATATTAAATTTGCAAACACAATGCACAATATATATTTAAAGCTACTTCAGGAAATGTTGCCTTTCATTATTTTACAGCCTTAAATTTTGGTGGTCTTATCCAGAATACAGAGCTAAAAGAATTAATAGCTACATACAAATACAGATTAACAGAACCCCAGAAAGAGGTTCAACTCACTATATTTTCTCTAATAATTTTTTTAACAAAATGAATCTTCTGCATCAGGAAGAGTATTAATACTTATGTATAACCTTTTAAAAAATGCAACAAAGTCTTAGCTATTGATTGATTCTAATTAATCTAAACATCTTTCTGTCAAAATTCAATACAGCATAAGTTAAAACTTGCTATGCAGAATTTAATGATATTTTAACGGATTAATGTATAAGTGAAATCTATAATCACACAAATAGCAGAAAATGAAGTTAACAAGTGTATTCCATTTTATAGGTTGTGCTTAGGGTATACATTGATAATATTGGAGAATGATTCAGAAATGTATTACATAATGTAATATTTATCAAAGTGCATTACTTGTTTGAAAAGACAGTTGAATTTTGACAACCAATTTAATCCTTAGATCCCATTACTGAATTTAGATCCTTCATAAAAAACAGATTTTATTAATAGTTTCTCATTCATAGAATTATTACATAAATGTAATGGTATTCTACAAATGTTTAATAAACTTATAAGATGAAGTATTCATCCTATGGATATCTCTAAGTTGTATAAATGAGATAGAGGTGCAACATTACCCCTGACTTCCATAGAAGGCCAAATAAAAATTAAAATGTGCACTGCATAGAATTCAGTAATGCATTATCAGCTCCTCCAGAGGGCCCGAATTAGTTTTCCAGCACCCACATGGAAGTTCTCAATTGTGATTCCATTTTGAGTGAATGAACCCATTTTCTGAGCTCCTCTCACACCAGGCATACAGATACTGCACAAATATGCATACAGCCCACGTACACAAGTGCAGAAAAAGTAGTGTACTATCTGGCAGGTGTGTAAAAGTTTCTTTGGAATTTGTAAAAATAAATAAATATATAAGTAAATAAGTGAAAGAATTTTGCTGTACAAAAAATATTGATATATATTGGGGTATCAATAATACTATGTATATGTATATAAAAAGTGAAAAGTAAACCACTAATATAGTGCTAAGAATGAGAAAATGGAAGAGAAATCAGAGTGTTTATTGGTAGATAAATAAAGAAACCATTTTGATAATATTAACATTATCAAAAATAACAAAAATAAAGATGAATGTATGTGGAGGAAATTCAGAGATGAAAATACAGCCTAGGAATTCATCATGGCATAAACCTCAATACACAGCTCAACCCTCTCCATTAATGAACCTTTCCCCATCAGCCTGTCTCCACTGATGGACTTCATCCCCTGCACCACTTCTCTCCAATATCCCTACCTGCCGGTGGAATTCTCCATTATTTTCACAGGTTTATGAGATCATTATTTTCAGCACATGTGAGTGACTTTATACAACAAGGATCATAGCTGCTAAGAGTTTTGACAATATTAAAGATAAGTCATGTACAATCAGAAGCTATAATAATGACTTGCTGCAAATTAGTAATGGGTGTTTTGAGAACTTGGTTATTTTCTGCCTACCCTCAATTATTTATATTCTATTTTCACTTTTATTGCTGTGATAAGATATCACAAAATTAACATATGTGGACCAAAAAAAACATATAAGCTGTTCTACTTTGTTTTTAGGTGCTGTGATAAACATCATGATTTTCAACAACTTGAAGGAGAAAAGGGATTGTTGTTAGCTGTCCTGGTAGCAGTCTGTCATTGAGGAAAGTCAGAGTGAGAACCTGGAAGGATAGCAGAGATCATGGAAACATGATTCGTACTGGTTTACTCAGCTTCCTTCATTACATAACCCAGAATCAACTGCCAAGGGATGATACTGTCAGCAGTGGGCTATGTCCTTCTACATCAATGAACAAATAACACACATGCCTTCAGGCCAACGTCATCTTGGTAATTACACAACTGTGTTTTCCTGTTACAAGGTAATTCTAGATTTTGCAATGTTGACAGCAAAAACTAGCCAGCATAAAGTCTTTCATCAAATTTATATTACTGGGCTTTAAACGCTTCAAATGATTATTTTCTTAATCATTTGAATTTATTTTTTTAAAAACAGGAATTGTTTTAATTATTTTACCTGAAAATAAAAATAAAATTGTATTTATTATTAGAATATCAGATAATGATTAAATATTTGTAAATATTAGCAATGTCAAATATATTATAAATGTCAAGTATATCTACAATATTCAACTTCTTAAATTAGTTTTTGGAGTTTTGTATGATGTTTTCTGGTCATATTTCCCATTTCTACAATTTCTTCCAGACAACTAAAATATTCAAAATTCTACCTTTTAAAAATATTAAGTCTATTTTCATTCACTATGTGCATAATGATTTCTCATTAAACCATAAGGAGTACCCACTAATTTCTCTTTCATATTTTGTGAGTTGTCTCTATGTATCTCACTAAGGACAAAAGCAGAAATATTTAAGAAATAATAAAAGAATTATAATGGAAACTTAAATTGATTAAAATTGAAAATGAGCAAATAAGACAGTTCATTTGGTATTCTGTTTTCTTGACATGTATAGGAAAACTGGGCATGCAATAAACTCATAGAAAACAGCAATAGATCCTAGACATTGGGTGACATTTATGAGTATAAAGAGTTTGACATGCATACTGCTCAAACAGTGCTCTTGAAATTACCTAGTAGATGACATGCACTTATAGAAAGATCCCTAGTCATATTTCTCTCTACTATAGTATCTTATATCTTTGTTTAGCTTATATGTTAGCATTTCTAACAAGATGATTAAGATTTATTTTTAAATTAACCTTCTCTCCAACACAATAAGAGTGATGAATTAAATATACTGAGTACTAGAGAAATGAATAACCATTCATACATTCCTTATATTTGTAAAAAAATTATGGTACATTACCAAATAGCATATCTAAGACAGAAATGGTGAGTTGTCACATTCAATATGCCTCAAGTTCAAAAATACATCCTTTAATATCTATTTACACTATAATTTGAAATATTCATACTTGGTAAAGTGTAATATATCATGGACAACAATGATGTTTAAGTGTAGTAATTGGTGACCAGAATTTCATACCTAACTGAAATGTTCATTCTATAAACATGAACAGAATTAGGACTATATATGAAATCACAGCATAATAATATCTTCATGGAAAAATGCTTCCTGTTTAGCCCTTAGGAAAATTTTGTATTGCCAAAATGTATGTATAAATCCAAAACAATTTTTGTGTGAAAAGTTTATCATGAAATTTCAAGGGAAAAAGAAAGCCAGATAGTAATTAAGAAAAACTAAGTTTGGAATGAATGCTGTATGTGGAAATTGATGGAGTAATTTGATTAATTTACAATTTTCTTATACCTTGACATTATTCTATTCTTTTCGTAAGTACATAAAAATTTAAAATAAAATATGAAGTAGTACAACATAAATTTTGATTTCTTCATAATTTTGTAGTATAAAGTAGTGAAAGTGAAACGATACTGAATTGGAGATTATTCTGGTGTTAAAGATTATTAATTCCGTAGACATGGGTGTATATTAACTTATCAAAAGTAAATGAATTAGTAGGACAACATAAAATATTTGTAGAATAGTAAAAATTTTAGCTATTAATCATTAGGTCAAAATCTTAGGCTTGCAGGTAAAAATGTCACAATAAAGAGCATTTCATGAGGCATTTTTATGATAGTTTACTTGTCAGGCAGTGAATCGACTCCATCCTTTGGACAATAGTGGTGACTCTGACAGGATTTGAGAACTAGACTCACTGACAAAATCCAGAGTGGCTTCTCCATGCTGTAGTGGTTTGATCAGGAAAGTTACCTAAGCAGTTGTTTTTGAGGACAGAATATGCTCTGTGTCATTCTCAGCTCAGACTTTATCCTTTTGCTTTGATTTGTATTGTCGCTAACTACTCAGAGCTTTTGTTAGTCAGTATTGAATTCACAACAAAGTTCTCAGGACATTAACAGAATATAACCAGATTCTTTGCCAGCATATCTCATGAATATACACTAGCCTACTTTCTTAAATAGTCTTTGTTCCACTCTGAAGTCTCGTGACCTGAGTCTCTAATATCAGTGCTTCTTCTTCATTTGTCCTCAAATCCCGCCATATTTGTCCATTAAGCTCAGCATTAAAGCCTTTTACCCTCAATTTAAACTCTTCATCATTCTTCATGCAAACATGGCCCAAAGACCTAAGAACCACATGTTCAGGTTTACAGCGCATTTGGTTCCACTTCCAGATGTCAATTTTTTGTGTTTGTTACTGTTGTACATCCTTGATAAATACCCTCACAAAAGCAACTTTAGGAAAGAAGGGATTGTTCTGGCTCACAATTCAAGACTATATACTATCATGGAATAGAAGTCATGGCAGTAGCAGCTTCAGGAAGCTGCTAACATTGTATCAACAGTCAGGAATATGAGATTAAAAGCATGTCCATGCCAGGCAGATTTTTTTCCTTTTAATATAGCATTCAAGTTCATGAGATGATGCTGCTACATTGATAGTGGATCTTCCAAAATCAACAAACTAGATAATTTAGATAACCAACCACAGACTCAGATATTCCAAAAAAATCAACATGATTTACATAACCCTCTATAGGCATGACTTGACATTTACTTCTTAGGTAGTAATAGACTCTATTAAATTGGAAATAAATATTAAAAATCACAATTTGCAATAAAGAATTAGAGAACACTCAAAATAAGGTTGGCCAGTGTATAATGGTGATCTGCAGAATCCATTTGATTTGACAGTTCATTTTCCTAAGAAATTGTTCAAGGCAAAAAAAATTAGAACTAGGGAAGAAATAATATAGTGGAATCCTTTTTTTTTTGCAAAAATAAGGACTTGAATTTGATCATAAGAAAACAAATACTAAGAAGAGTGTTGCTAGCTCACATGTTTGGGGCTTGATGTTTAGCTAACCTAAGCTAATTAGTATGCCAGAACTTCTCAGGATAGCTTATGTTAAACAGCCACAAGGATATCTCCCAAGGTGTGACATCTAAGACAGACCTCTGACGTCCTGAAACATTTGGACACATGAAAACCTATTCTTCCATACACATAAACATGCACACACTCCCGCATCTGTGCTAACACATTTCAAATAACATAAACACAACTTTTTCTTAGTTAAACCCACTGAGTTGAAACTGAGAAAAAGCCCTGAACAGAATAAATGTTTGTAGCTCTTTTTTAATTTGAAATGTGAAATTAATATCTAATGCGTAATAAATTTCTGCCGGGTACTCAAAGTAGTATAAGGAAAAAAAAAAAGAAATTCCAAAGGGAATTCTCAAAACTCTCAAAAGACCATAGCAAAGGAAGGAGACCAGGTGTTTTTCAGAAATATACTCATGCCAATAGCTAAATAATAAATACTCTCACTTTGCTTTTGAGATAGATTTGTAACATCTTTGAGTACCACTTTCAGTCTAAGTCTAGAAAATTCCTTTCTGTGCCAGAAGAAGGCATAAAGAAACTCAAACCATTTATACATTCTGAGCAATATACTCAAAAATTCCACTTAAATTTTAATATCATCCACATTCTTCTCAATATATGTCCTCATGAAGTAGGGTGGGAAGACAAATGGACATTTTTAATGCTTTCCACACAATTCAGAAAATTCTATAATTAGTGATTTCATATGCTTGTTTTTCTTCTTTCCTAACTTATATAACTCTGAATAATATAGATACAAGGACTATCTGTGTAAGAGTGGTTGACACTTCTGCAAATTCTAGAAAATCTTTCCTAGAAAAGAGTGAGATAACACAATGAAAATCACTTCTAGGCATTCATGCAATCTTGCAAACAGGGCTCTCTGGCAGCTGTCATAATTTCTCTGGACTTATGCTATGAGGAATAGGAACAGGTTTCTGAGTTTCCCTCAGGAGACTACTCAGCTGTCAGTCCTCAAGTAAAAAACACCACAGTAGGGACTCATTTAAGAGTGTTAAATCCACAGAATTGCAGTATAACATTGATTCTGCCCATGCCATACTTACTAACTTTACTTGCAATTATAGAGAAATTATACTGTGCAGTGCTCTCTCTGTCTAGTAATTCATTCGTGGCGATGGTTCCTTCAGTTCCATCTATTGTAAAGTAGCTGTCTCCATCACTCTTCCAATCTATGAAGTACCTGTATGTGAACAGAGGAGATGCAAATGTGCAATGATTACACATGAATCATAATGGCAGTTAAGCTAACTTGACACAGTTCCATATTTTTTGCCCTGTAGCTATTACCCACCTTGCAATAAAGAAGAGTGTAAATGACAGATTCTTTATTGTAAAGTCAGTATCCTCAAGGGGAAACTGGAAATAATGAAAGATTTAGGACTCTTGCTGTTCATATCATTTTAGGGTCTTGACACTTTGAAAGCTCAGCAGAGACTAAAATCCTAAAGCTGGCCATGGTTCTCCTTAACCTGCTGAATATTAAAACTCTGTCAGGTAGTAAAAGAACTCCTCAATGATATCAGTGGGAAGGGTGAGGGATGGAGAGAGATGTCTAAAAACTACTAAAACTTTAGGCAGAATATACACTGTCTTTGTATTTTCTTGAGAGGGGGGAAAGATAACAGTACAGGAATCAAACAAAGATAAACTGAAATTTCGGGATTCAACAAAATTGTTTCCTGTTAGCTAGTCATGTCTATGTAACTTTTAAATTTTCTAATATCCTTGGTCATACAATAGCTAGAAGAAAAATCCAAAAATATGAATAATAAAACAAAAATTAAATCTTCTTAAATATTCAGACACTGAGATACATGTGGAATGACACAGATTTTTTTGTCACAATATCCAAATAGTATTTTTTACAGTGTTGTGTTAAGATCCAAGAGCCTTGAGCATGTTGTAAAACATCTCTGGCACTGAGCTACACAAGCAAACCAGGGATTTTAAAAGGGTAAAAGCTAACACTGTTTCCATGACTTATTTCCATTAACTTATTTATCTCCATAATTGTCCACATTGAACGTTATTATTCCCTCTATACAGCATATGAGGAAACCAAGGCTCACAATATAAAAAGAATGCCTGGTTTTATGGACCAGTTTATCAGTATTTGTCACATAACCATCACTATTTTGTACTTACAACTTGAAATGGAATATTTTATTGGAAAGATACTGTGATAATAAAGAGGCAAAATATGACATATAGTTCCCAAGTCTTTTATACCCTATGAGCCCCATAGAAGTTGTTAAAAATAGTGGTCAACACAAATGATATTTTGCACTTGACCCACTGAACATTTCCATGACCACAAACGAGTAATTATTTTAATCATGAAAATCTGGTGAAGAGTATGTGCACCTATATATCAGATTATTAATATGAGAAGTTGTATATGAAAATCCCATGATTCCTCTCATTGCCATGAGAGATCAAATCCAGTTTGCCTTTGCAAATGAGATGCTAAGGTTAACATGTCAATATCATTTAGTAACCGATCTTATAATAAGAAGTTTTTACTATTGTTGCAAGGCATGAGACCTGATGTTAATCTGTTTTTTTTATGTCTTAGCTACTGATCTGTGATTTAGGAAAGTAGAGAACTCTCATAACTTCAATGTAACAGCTTTTTCTTTAGGAAAACATCCCTCAAATACAAAAGCAGTTATGGTGCTTTTAAAAGTTAAGGAGTATTTTTTACTTTGCCTATTGCAAGCCCTTTTATAAACAGGACAATGTTTTATACAATATTCTTTTTCATGCACCTCTATTCAACCAAACATATGTCTAACTCCAAAAGAAAATTGCAGCCTGTTATGCTTACTAGCTAATATTTTATGACGCACCATTGATGCGAACTGTGTTCAATGCCCAGTTGACAATTATCTACTCACACTAAACACCATGCTAGAGGTAACTGTGTAAACTGAAATACAATGCTCACCCATGATGATGTGGAGAGACAATTATCTATAGATGATCTCGCCACCTGATAGATGCTCAGAAAAGGCCTTGCAATAGTGCCAAGGAAAAATACCTTGTGTGAAATCTAATGCTTGAAGTAGAAAATCTCCCTGCACCTGATGATTGGAAGGCACTAGAAAGCTGTAGAGAAATGGTCCAGGCAAAGACTAGCAATCACAGACAAGAGAGAAAGAACCTATTTCAGGAAGCTGCATTAGCAGAAACCCCAGGAAAGAGCTATAGGAAAGTCAGTCTGTTAGCTATTGTCAAAGAAAGAAGAGAGTGGTACATTACATAAAGCGACTTAGTTCCTGGATATTTTGCATAGCATAATAAGGAGTTGAGTCTGTATGTGACAAGTGGCTCTTTGTTAAGGGGATTAAGCATCTATTGCTTTGAAAGGCACTTGTCAGAACATTCAAACAAGACAACAAAGTTAGGTAAGCATTTTTTTTTCCTTCAAGATTCTTTCAAATGACAGAGTATCTTGGACAGCAAGACTGAATTTGATTCAAGGAGTTTTAGGAGTGGTTAACATTAAGAAGGGGAATGCAGCCCAAAGGAGAGAAAATGTAAGCACTAACTAATCAGGATTTGATAAAGATACAGAAAGTGAAAGAGATTTGCTATACTGAGTGGACAGGGGAAAGGAATCAAGAATTAAGTCTGTATTCATGCATTTCTCAGGTAAACAGAACAAAGGCTTTGTGGGAACAACAGACCTTGGCCTTGGCCAGAGGCCCACTTCCCCACCAGCCTGGGAGCAGGCAGCTGTGAGACAATGTTTACTGAAAACTATCCAGTGTACTAAGAAATGTTAACCGGAGCTATAAGTTCCCGATAAATGCTCGCTCACTGAAACACCCTGACTTTGATCTTTCCAATGTCTAGCCCCCTCTTCCTGCCCCCTGCTGCTGCTGCCAACTCAGATGTCAGGGACATATAACCACCAGCCAGGAGGAGAAAAAGTGTGTGTGGCAGAAGCTGTTCTGGAGGGAAACGTTTCTTGGGAAGTTCTCTTGAGCCTTCTTGGGGAGCATAAAGTTTTCTTTACCCAACCCACTGGTTTCGGGGTTATCAACCCCGACACCCTCGCTACATTCTCGGATACATGCTGCTCAGCGGGCACGGCAAGGCTTGTGTTCTATAGGAGCATAAGATTAAAAAGAGTTTGTCTAGGAAATGATTAATACCAGGAATAATTTTTCAGTTCCTTCAATCATTTTCATACTGTGCCAAATATGAACTTTATTATCCTACACTTACTCTTCCAGATTCCTTAGCAAATACAAACCATTCATATAATATCTTAAGCAGTTTTGTCTTTTGAGTGAGATGTTGTCCAAAATCTTGGATATTTGAATATTTGGTCTCCGATTGGTAGAGTTGTTTGGGTTTGTTCAGAAGATGTGGTCTTCACTGAGTAAGTGTGTCACTCTGGTTGAACTTTTGGGTTTCAAAAGCCACATGTCATTCCATGTTCTATCTCTGCTGCTTGCCTGTGGATTGAAGGTGTGAACTCTCAGCTCTGTGCTCTAGACAACACACCTGCCTAGTGTCTCAATTCCCCACAACGATGGTGATGGTTTCTTCTTATACATCAGGAATATTAAACTCAAGTACACCTTTTGGTCTGTAAGTGACATTACCCATGCTCTTTTATTGCAACCATGGAAAAGTAACCAATACTAATATTTCAAACTGTTCTAAACAGAATAGTTTAAAGAAATTTTTATTAATATTTAGATTTTGAAAAACTGATGTCATAAGCTTCATTATCAGGAAATTTCAATTAAGTGATATAGAATTGTGACAGTATGGAAGAATAAAGCGATGCTTTATCTGGAGAGTATAAAAGAGACTGTATCATTTACTATGTTTAAAAATTATTATTATTAACTGCATAGTTCCTGTTATATATTAATCAATCTCCAATATGGTATACAAGGACCAATATATTATTTTGTTCTCAAAATATTTTCAAAATTATAATACAGTTGCACATATATTACAATAAATGTTACATTTCCCATGTTATCATTTTCATATTTCCTTCACAGCTAAAATATATGTATGCATATTGATATTTGAAAGATACATTTGACAATATTTTACAGAAACCATGCCTTTTAAGCACAAAATACTCAATATGCTGCTCCAAAAACAATGTGTTTGCTCCAATTATAGTGGACAAGTTCATGTCTATACAGAAATGTGTGTGTGTGTGTGTGTGTGTGTGTGTGTGTGTGTGTGTGTACAAAACTTGGATACTGTTTTTCCATAGGAGCTGTCCAAATTTTTTGTCTGTCTCATTGACCAAAAATTTGTTAAATAGTGTCTGGGCAGTGAGTAACAGGGGAACACCTGCTTTATTATCCATTGCCTGGGATAATAATCACTTGCCACAAGACCAGGGGTTTTATTTTCTAGTTAGCCTGAATTACTGAGATTATTGTAAAAGTATCCGTGATTGCAAGTGAAACATGTTATTGAAGAACCTGTCTCTGATGATTTTCTTTTCTTTTCTTGTCTTGTATTTTCTATGTTCCTCTTCTAATGTTTTTGTTTGCATTGAACATTTTCCAATGTTATATGAATTTCTTTAATATGATTTTCATTTTTTAATCTGAGTTATCTTTTAATATATATTCTAAATTTTACCATGTGCATTCACCTGGTTTGAATTCATACTAATTTAGGTCCAATAAATATAAAATTTTGCTGTTATTCAGCTATGCATTATGGCATAGTTCACATATATTTTTATATTTTTATGCATCCCATAAGTAGAGGTAAGATTTATTGTAATCATTTGGTCTTATAATTTATGTCTATTAAAGTTGAGGACAGCATTTAGGGACCAACTATTGAATTGTCTGTTCCTATGGATTATTATACACAGGGTGTCTATTCTTAGCCACTGTCCTATACAGGGGCTAGAGTTGCTTTTTGTCTTCCTATTTGCTCTCATGAGTCAAAAAATGATACCATGGACTTGAAGAGGCAGTTGGGGAGGAATACTACACACAGGAGGGAATGGATGAGGAAAGAAACTACAGATATTTTTGTTCCAAAGAATAGGGATTTAGCTTCTGCTTTTTGTGCTAGGATGCTATAATAAAAATGTTGCTATTATAATCTCCCCTCTGTGGTATTATGAACCTGTCTGTGATTGCTGCATGAAGAAAAGTCATGTGTCCTCAAATGTACCTT